CGATAACCTAAACAAGAGATTTCAGGCATGGTGGTCCAATCTGTGTCTCAAAGTTCCGCTCGACTGGACTCGCAACAAAAGCTCTGGGGCTAAAAACGAATTTCATAATCTATTTATCCAAGGTCTGTGCATCTAGCTTTGAACCGGAAACTGCCTTTGAAACTCCTCTTCTGTATTTACTTATCAGTGAGGAACAAAAAGTACAACGAGCGGGAATTCTTTTTGTCAGTGGTACCCTCAACAACACACACATACACAAAAATGGGGGTGGGGGGGGGGGAAATTGAAGTTTCGGCACAGCAGCTTTGGTTGTTCCAAGTACAAATACCCCATTTATTACTTGTGTGTGCATCTTTTCCATGATTTTGTGCAATTTTTTTTCTGGGAATATGTTTACTTTGCTGGTCACAGAATGGCCCTTTTCTTACCGAGGAGGAATAGAACCCACCCTTCAGTCTGGTTTTTAAGTGGAATTTATTTTGTTGTGAGCAGGAAGAAATCTTTGAGGATGTTGTACGCCAAGTTCAACAACACACCATTAAAATGATTGTTTGCCAATTTCTCAAACAAAGCTGTGCCGCATACAGTGCTCCACAAATGTTCATGTGATTTCTTTTGTGCTATTTAGGCAGCCAGAATGACCAAAAATATGAACTTCAAAGACTAACTGCAACTCGTTCACTGAAATTCCAGGGTTCAAAGTACAGGACAGCTGTGATTTTGCTAAAGTGGCAAAATTACCAAGCATTGTGTCTATCATGTGCTCATGGATTACACCGACGTATTACAGCTACAATGTACACTGTACCAGACAAAGATGAATCGCATACACTGAAAATGAGCAGGAGGGTAGGTGCAGCTGTTGACATTACGTACTGGCCTGCCGTGGAAGACCGGCACCACAAACTCAGCACTGCATGCGAGCAGTCTCACCAGGCAGAAACGGGATCGGTTTCAACAATGGCATTCCAGTGTCCCCACTTTTCATAACCCTGTGCCTCCTAAATTTGGTCAACAGCGCCACCCCTGTAAGTGACACGTGACTGTCTTCTTCACTGTTGAGAAACAACTCATCACATCCACTATGCTTACTTCTTTTGCAGCCCTAACTGGAAAGAGACCTTTTCCGGTGTGTTTCCTTGTTCATTCTCACTGACCATTGTCTAGTATCTGTACCTCTTGCATACACAGAAAGATCAACATCTTGTTACTACTGTGGATCAGCGAGATAGGGAGCACAGTGTGTGATTCAGATCTTATGGAAGCATGGCTTGTTCTTGACTGAAGTTAGAGTTGATGTTCATTGGCACACAAGACAGATAACACTGTGTGAGATGTTATCAAAAAGTGGGATGACAGAGCTTTTCTCCGCATGTAAAGAGTTCACATAGAATGGCATGGTCTTCAGCCTTTTTTTTTTACCCAAAGTGCTAGAAAGAGAAGTAGTTAGCCTATTTCCCTCTCTCTCTCCCCCGGCAAGATCAGATCTGCCGGTGGGTATGGCCACTCAGCCGTGATCGTCACAACAAAATGCAACTCTGGACATTTTTTGAAACAAACAACAACGTGACTGGGCTGACATTATATTAGATCCACTCACGGCAGCAGTTGGGGAGAAGAGAAGCCTACGAATGGGCAACACGGTCTGGTGGTGGCAAGTGCACACATGGCAGCGTGCCCACAAAAACAATCATTAAACTACTCAAGCGCGCTGGCGCCAGACTGCCTGCTGAAGCATAGAGAGAAACCAGTCCAGCACCACCAACTGCACTCTAAACAATAGCAGGAAACAAACAACCACCTCTTTTCGCAAATTATCTTATAATTCTCACGTGTATCATGACCCGAACTGTACCGACAAATATAGAGAATCAAACTTCAGGCATGATCGTCAGTAACCTCAAAATTCTCTGAAAAGTACAAGAAGGTTCAAGGACACAATGCATAATTTCTAAACGTTCTTTCAAGAACACCAACAGGTGTGATAACAAAACTGTAAATAGGGGACTTGTATTCAAAATTACAATGTAGATCAATCAACCATGCTGATTGGTCAATCTCACAGCAACCGCTCATGCTTAAAACTGAAGAATCTGAAAACCAAAAGCAATGTACAGAGGACAACAAAAGATATCAGATTTTGGTGACTTTTTTAGACGACATGTCTCGCTTGTAACAGATTTTTACTGACAAACACTGTAAACCACTGTGTGGCCCGGAGGCTTGTGAAAAAACCCACAGGATTACTTGCCTAGGACTCAAAGCCCACAACCTTCTGCTTTAATATTAGTGCTGAAGTCGTACCACTTGACCACTGAGCTTACCGGGGCTGGCTGGCCGATTCAAGTCAGCTGAGCAACAGGGTACTGCCGCCAAGAAAAGTACAGCTTACAAAATGCTTCCTATGGTGCCCACTGCTCATCTGACTCAACCGGCCAGCTGACCTTGGCAAGCTTGATGGTCAACTCGAGTGATAAGGTGCTTCCACTAATAAGCAGCAGATCGAGTTTGAGTCCCATTCAAGTAAGCCGGCGGATTTTTTCACAACCCTCAGGCAACATGGAATGCACGGTATTAATAAACATATCTCAACGGTGGGTAGAAAACCCAATGTAAAAAAAATCCTATAAAAATCTGGTGGCATACTGGTACACAGTGGACAACAATTGCAAGAAATGGCTAAATATAAATGTACCCTCACATCTTCCTCATTGCTATACGATATATCATCTTCCTTGGCTGATAGGTACCCATGTTGCACCAAATATGCACTGAACATACATGTACTCAGCCTTTAATCCAAGGTAGCCGTCAGTCAGGTGTGTCACGTCGAGTTTCAAGTCCTATGGCTTGACTCCGAGATTGAATCGTGATTATCAATAGTTCAAAACCTGCATTATTGTGGGGATAGATCCATTCATGATGTATCCTTGATCACAACAGGACGGCACAACAGTGAGTTGTCACGTGGCTGGAATAAGAATCTACATGAATGTTATTGATACATTAGCATTATTGTGGAGACTCTACAGGTGCGTGAGCTCCTGGCATGAGCTTGAAAATAACAGACCGCGCAACAGTCGTGAAAACATTGTTTACATGAGCAATGCCATCACACAGTGCTTGCTTTTCCTTACTTTCCCAGAACATCAGGTTGTTGTTGTTTATCTCTTGGGACATGAGCGTAAGAATTCGGGCTGTGTATTTGCAAAGACTGGGTGGCAGATTTGGTTTTTAAAAAGGGATACGGAAGTACAAGAAACAAAAACCTATTACAAATTTCAAAGAAAAAAAACAAAACAGCAGTGAATACTTTCAGCAAACTTTTCTCTTGATGGCCCAGTCTGTACGCAAGATTCTCATTATCCGATGTTTTTCTTTTCCTTCTTAGTAAAAATCTACTGTCCAGAGTTTGAAATGCAGTTGTCAACACAACATACCATCTGAATATCTGGCAGTGAACTTGATACTTGGAAAAACAGTTGACTAGGACTCTGAAGTCCAGTGGTTTTTTGGGACGACCAACAGATTATCAAGACCTAACCTGCCACAGCTGCTGACAGACGCAGGACCAATTGAGGTTGTGTAAGTGGCCTGTTTAACCTCCCAAGTCAGTAACTTGTCCTGCATAGTTGTCCTGCAACTATTCTGCTCATCCCAACAAACTATCAATCTAGGCAATTTGGAAATGACAAATTGGTGCAACTGAAAAAGTTGAAAGACCAAATGGATTTCTGCTTAATCTTGAATTACATGTCTCCCCCCAAAAGGCTATCATCCCCTCCCCCGATAAGATAGAATGCGGAAAATAAAAAGACATGTGGACGGACAGAGAAAACCATATTGTTGACAATTACGAATATGCCAGGGTTTTTTGTGCATAATAATTGTTGTCATTAAATTAGAGAAGGCTAAATGCACAATAGAATGTCACACACTGTGGCACATGAACAAATGGCACCGCGCAGTTTGACGGGAGGCAAGAACAATTAAAAATAAAATAAAAAAGATGGCAGACAAAACGCTGGGGTTTTTTTATCCTCCCCTTTTACACATGAGCGGCCAAGCAGATGTTGGTGGGACCCAGGCTGAGGATGTGACCTGCCAGGAGTCACAGCCTGGGTCTGACGAGATAATGGTGCACAGAGAGTGAGCCCTCTAACGAAGAGAGACTATCGAAAGGCACCCATTTTCCTATCCCCCAATTATGAGCGTTTTATAACGAGTCAAGTGATTGTATATCAGATCGAAGATACAGGTACACTTTTTGTCATGCCTCTTGAATAGTGTATTTTCAATCTGTATTTTCAATATCCCAGAGAAATCATGAGACCGGGTGATAAACGTGCATATTACATTCATCCTTGTGTATATCACATTGTGATATTATTGTCTAGTTCCCACACCACAGTCCAGATCACAATGCATTGACTGTAAACCAGACTACTCATGTTCACTGGTATCTGTGCTACTTTGAGCTACATTCGGTTGGAAAGGAGGAAATCCCAACAAAGTTGAAATCGCGTAAGCAACGACATACAGAGGTAATAATGATTTTCTTCGTGTCGTCATGATTACGATTTTTCATCAACATGGCTTGTAGCTATCAGGAGGAATTTGGCATGATGTCGGGGTTTAATCACAGGATTAAAGAGATCGGTTGGGTCAGAGGGTAAGGGGTTGGAATGAAGCTGCAGGCCTTCATGTTGTGTACTCCATGAAGCTACATGTGACTTTGCCCACACTTGCCTCTCTCCAGCCATAAATATAAGTGGATACTACCATCAGCTAGGGACGTACATGTAATGGATTGGCATCTCATCAAGAGGAAGGGTGGGGGGGGTATCTTTAGTCATGTCATGCCAAAGATACCAAAAGATGACCGACGAGCAACAGTGGCACAGGGACACATCTTGTAACACTTGGCCCTAAGACAATGTTTGTTCAACCTGCAGTTTTTGTGTGAAATGGAATGAATAGATGATTTTTCCTTTCCTCACCTGAGTCCGCCCAGCAGGGGTTATGTCATCCAGGAAATCTCTCCCGCCAGGGCCAGCCTCATCAACTTGTGACTGAGCCTCTTGGCTCCTCTTTCTCCTCCTTGATGAACGTCTCAGTGACATCTGACCCCGCGACCTGGTTCCACCCCCCTTGAGGTCCCTCTGCCGAGTGTTAACACTTACATCTTCCTTTTTTGATGAATTGTGACTACAATTGGCAATAACCTTGGAATATGGAGTTGGCAAATTTGCATCCAAGGATTTTTGGTTCGCCATCTGAATGTCTTGTTTAAGTGGTTGAGTGGCACTGAAGTCATCACTGTTCTCTTTGAAATCTGTCTCATGCTCTCCCTTTGCTGACCCAGAGTGCACATTTTGGGGCCCTCTATTGGTGACCTTTGGGCAGGGTGACTTTTCTTCCACACAATCATCGTCCGAATCAAAGAGCAAGGGGGTAGCATCGTACTCTTCGCGATAGGCTTCCATTTGATGGACAGGATCTGCTGAGGATGGTTCCATGTGACAAGGCTGATCTTCCGTAGGGCTGACAACCTTAGAAGGATCTACCTCCTCATTGTCTACCCCTCTACCACTAGGCAAATCACTGACGCCTTCTCCAAAGTCTAGCCTTCCTCTCGGAGTCCTGACATCGGTGACCCCATGCGGAACTACACTTTCCGGGGAAAAACATCTCTCCTCATTTTGCAAGGGAACATTTTCAGATTGCAAACTCGGTGCTATGAGGTTTTCTTGATTTGATTTGTTGCAGTTCTCAAAGTCCCTGATATTTTCCTTCACCGAGTCATCACCTGGGAGAGGTATCGTGAAGCGCCTTGAGCCCAACCTCTCAGCTTGATTGCTTTTGGTTGGAATGTCTCCCTTCGTTGCCAAAGTGGAGGCAACCGAGGGTGTAAATACAGCACTAGCCGTAGAAGATACCACTATCGTAACAGGGGGGGCTTTCTGCAAGAGGTTGCTGACTGGCATTTGATTTAGCAGATGTTCGATCACCTTCTTGCCTGATTTATCCACATCTTCCACCAACTGACCCTGAAGAGGTGTGGGAGTAACAGCAGGAGAATGTTGAAGGGTTATCACTGTGTTATTGGGACCAGTTAAGTACTGAGAGCTGGGTACCAACTTCTGACTGGTGTTAACACCCTGTGTCGGGAGAAAGGCACTAGATGACATGGAGGTTAAGGTTGGGTTTGGCATTTCTGTGGCTAGGGTCCCACTACCGAAGGCAAACGGTGTGCTGGGTGTGGCTGCAGAGCTGAAGAATTTCATAGGGGTGGGTGTGGCCAGATTGGGCGTGGCTAAATTGGGTGTTGCCAAATTAGGTGTAGTAAGATTCTGGCTCTGCTGAGCATGGAGCGCCATAACTTTCAGCACATTGCTCATCCCGTTGTCACCATGGTCGAGGGGCTGAGCAGGGGTTGGGGTTGGTGGGGCTGGGGTCAGAGGAACAGCAGGGGGCTCTTGGCTGATGGGGGTGACCACGGCACTAATGGACTGGCTGGGAGACGGTGATGCACAGAGGGACAAACTGCAAGAACAAGGGACAAATCCATGTCAAATCCATAACCTTTTGCCGGAACACAAAATGGTCAAACACATATCTTGATCACACAAACACTGAGCTAAGTTTGCAAATATCGATTTAAAGACGCTGTATCACGGGCGATCTTTAACATTTTTTCAAATAGTGCCACCCGGCGACTGCAGTGTACTAAAATGCAATCTCGTTTCCTTGGGTACGAACTTGCCGCACCATATTGGTTCTGGCACCATACCCTTCACAGTCTTTGAAGGAACCTGCACGAAGCCCATGGAGTCAACATTGACTAAAGTGACTTTATGGGGTCAGTGCCTATGACAGCATTAGTAAGCAAACCAGTAAGACAAGAATGCGTCTTTGAAGTACATGTTACTTTAGAAGAAAAGATCTTTAGAGTGAAGTAATCGTGCAAAGCACAATCCAGCTGTAATCCATTCAAAACTACATGGAGTAAGGGTGTATATTAGACTGGCACTACTGACTACGGTTATTCTATAGTGTGCCAATGCATTCCATTAAATTGTAGCTCTCCCACCCCACAAGAGAAAATTAGATGTGCCTTCAAGCTACATTAAGCGAGTACAGGTTAATCACAGGATTCCTAACTATCAACTAGAAGTCGACGCTAATGATCTAAAGTCGAGAAGGATTTTGTAACAAAGCTTCTCTGTGGTTACCTTGGCAACTGGGGACAGGGACTCAGTTGTCTGGCTTTCGCAAACTCCTTGAGGGACACCACGGCACCTCTGGCATGGGTGTGGTGCACAACCTTGCCTCTTACCCACTTGGACAGGCCTGGGAAAAAAAAATTAAAGTTTCCAAGATGGAATAATTTGACATCGTGTTTAGAAGCATTACAACAAAACTAATCTTGCAAGGGCAAAAAAACCAGTTTCCAGTTCCCGAAGTTAATTTAACTTGAAACTTTGAAGGCCAATGTGTATCTTTTTTCAAAGTGATAGTCGATCCTTCCTCTCCAGGTAAAGAACTTCTTCCAAACATAAAGTGGAAAGTTGGGAAAATTGCTGGAGTTGCACACATCCCAAAATGAAAAAAATACTAATAACACAGAGCCTGCTTGGTTTCTAATTTGCCAGTATTTTGTTTGAAATTGAACATTTTGACATTTAAGAAATAAGGGAAAATTCTCCACAGAAAAAAAAGGGGCTCCTCCGGCCTGACACTCGTCAGTTTTTTTATCATCTGCTGTCAAATTGCTATCCCATGCCATTCCAATCATATTCAAACCTGACTTCTACCTGTGATGTACTTCTTGGGATTTCTACCGAACCGATCATCAACCAGAATTAACGCACCCCAATCTCTCCTGGGAAAAAAAGAACATCAATGAGGAATGAAGAGTTGGTTTCTTTTCACTTCTCCTGCTCACATTGAGACGAAACCGTAACAACATTTGAAATCAGTCAGTGACATTCAAGAAAATGAAACTCTATTGTTCCAACATAAGAGGTTGAGTGAGACCAATTTGGAACTTTATGGTCAGAGCCTTGGGTTTTTCAAATGAAGTTTTAAGGATCTTTTACATTTTTATGAATATTGCTTGAAACACAGGATTGAATCTAATTTCAAGTTACATCTGCAATCAAAGTGTGAGTCACACAAGTTCTGCAGAGCTTGAGTACAAGTTATGATTAACAAGTGCTGGGTGTGAGCAAACCAGGTAACATTCTGAGGCCAAAAGGTTCAGACCTGGGTCAAATGTGGACAAGTTTGTGAGTGAGACCAGAGTTGAACAGGCTGGGTTCGGCCCACTTAGCTCATAGCTGAGTTCAGACTTGAGTTACAAAGTCAGCCGACTGCACTGTAAGCCCAGGTCCTGGAATAACTGACTACTGAGAGAATCTTATTTTTGCCTGCTCCTCTGGTCAACACTTCATCGATCTAATACCACTGACCAGCACACAGACAAGCAGACGGACAAACAGACAGACATTACTTGAACAGTCTTACTTGTGTCTGATGCAACGGCCCAGTGCCTGGTTGATGGCCCTGTAGGCCTGAATCTCGTACCACTCGCTGCCGGTCAGCAAGCCCCGAGAGGTCGAATACTGGTCATTATACTGACGCTTCAGTTCCACTTGTGTGTCTTTGATGCTTGGGAATGGAATGCCGATCTAGCGGTCAAAGTGAAACTTTTCTTAGCTGGGTGCAAGTTTATGTGCAATAATGTGGAAAAGTACCGTGGCACATTTCTTGCCAGAAGTTTCAAATCACATCACATCCAAGTCTCGGACCATTCTGGGAGTGTCTTCAAAGCCTGGGATGCTTAGGGCTTTGTTTCTTGCACGATGCCCTTTCATTTTGCAACAAGCTTTTTTTAAGTTAATACAGAAATGGCCTTGGATTTCTGCCTATTAGAGAGCAAATGAATTCCAATGGTTCCATTCTAGCTGACAGCGCAATGCCCCATGCTCTAAATGTTGCAAACAACATCGGATTGGCCATGTGGGACCAGTGTGTCTGGTGCCACTATGAACCATTTCAAAAGTCTGCAATTAGAAACATGTTCATCTTCGAAAAGAGTGTTTGATAAGGAACACAAATTTTAAACAGAATTTGAGATGATCTCTTATACACAGCGTTCACTTTACAGACGAATCTAGCCACTCTTCCGAGTCACTGTGTGCAAAACCCAACGCCGCTTTCCGCCATTAAAGGGGGCCGTGAATATATGTCCAGTAAGATGTTGCTGGATTTGTCTGTACTCACAGTCATGACAGCTCGGGCATTGTTGTCAGCAAAGTCCATCCCTTCACTGACTTTACCCCGGCAGACGGCCAGAAACACAGCCCCTGTCACAGACTGGTTCTCAATATCTAAGGCAAAGAATTTGTGAACAGGGATTAAACGTGAAACCGTCTTTCATTCAGATTATTAAATCCTCCGCTTTTGTCCTTGCTAAAACTTACTCTGCAGTTTAAGATTCAACTAAAAGTCACTTTGGGCTGATCAACCAACATTTACATCGGCTTCCATGGTCTGTGTAAAAATTATGTTATTTTCAATATGGAAAGAAATGTTCAGTTAAATTTCATTCATAAACATAAAAGCACTAATGCAACACTTGGTAGTAAGTGTTAGTTTCGCATATTCTAAGCATGAGCATTGTGAAGCACTGAACAAAATGTGCGGTATGTCCAAAGTTCTGAAAATGGAGAAACTAAACACTAACAATTCCGGTTAAAGCCGTGTTCTCATTGGGCATTTTCTTCCGCGGGTACGCGGAATACCGCAACATTCTTTCGTGTCAAGCTATTACGCATTCCCACATGGACTTTTTAAAACTGTAACGGAATGTTTATTCGCTGTGTTAGACCTAATAATAATTAGACCAGCTGATTACATGGCCTGCGCTGTACAAATCATGACAAAATCGGCAAAATCTGACAAAAACAAAGACAAAATCAGACAAATTCTGCCAAATCTGCCACGAAGAAGACGAACCCGTACAGGAAAAGCCCCATACACAACGTGTGTATGGCTTTATTCGGGCACGCTTCACTGTGTGGACATAGCATGTTGCTGTAGTGTACGCATCCACATCTAACTTGGACCGGCTTTGTGGTTAACAAGTATAGGCAGAAGATTGTGGGTTCAAGTCCAATCTGAGTGGGCTTAATAGGAAATTTTTCCGCAGGCTCTCGGACAACACTGAGCACAGAGTTATAAATATATGTGAGTTCAAGGGCAAAACCCATACTTTTAAACTGACTTCTGCTTGATACAACGTACATCTTTAGAGATTTGCTTAGAGTACTTACACAGCAACAAAAATCTCTGTGCAACAATATGCATTAGCACGTCCACACCACAAAACATGCATTCAAGGTAGCACAGTTTTCCCTGCTGACGTTGGCAAACTTTTTGGTCGTCTATTCAAACCTCAATGAATCATTCACTAGCAATCAAAATTGTTCCAAGCAGCCTTGGGAATTAGGGTAAAAGCAGTACCATGAAATTCTTGTAGGGGATCGAACAATAAAAAAGTGTTTACCGGTTTTTTCACAATCCTTGATGACCTCATAGAACTCCCTCAGGTGCTCGTCAAAGTTGACCTTGTCCGCCCCCCTTGCCTCTGACATCACCACCTTGACCTGTCCAAGTTGGTCCCAGAGACCTGTGTTCTAAATTGGAACAAAATGAACAGTGCTGAAACTCTTAACACCTGTTTGTCTGTTGCACCCAGACAGCAAGCAACAGGAGGACCCATGCCGGCTTACTGGCGACAACAGTTTGGAGTGATGTAACAAAGGCAATCTTCCTGTAAACTCAAGGTGTTCGATATTGCCATGGAACAAGTCCTCAGGCCACTGTATGAGGAAGTCTGGCTCCTTCAGTTCTCCACACACGGAGAGATATTAATGAAAACTCTGCACCAATCTCGACATATCTACCCTGGTCCTAATAAATGTGTCAAGTTTCAGCCTAATCAGATGAAGTTTTTGGAAGTTAATTTTTTTCTCACTGCACACTGTAAATCAACAATTGTTCCCCTGTCCTGAAAACACTGGGATTTCTGCAGTAGTGCTCATTGCAAATTTGACATTTTGCAACAGCAGTAGGTGAAAATTTTACATGTCAAATGTGCTTGTGACATCGCTCCACAAAAACATGAAGGCACGCCAACCCCGATGGGATCTCAGCCCAGGTCGCAGGACTCTCTCATGGTTAGACAAAGATGACAAGTTTTGATACACACCTTCCATCTCTGCGACAGCTTGTTCAACATTCCGTAGGAGGGAAGGAAACACAAGACACCGTAAGGAATCACTTGACAAACTTGAAGGAGCAACAGACCAATCTCATCCTGGAAGCTGTACGTCTGAAAGATCGTACGGAAATAAATGATAACAATAATACCAACCTCTACCTTCAGTTCTCAATCAAACGTCTCCAAGCACAGCACATTCATGCACAACAAGTGAACAATTCCACCATCCTTATGTTAATTTTTTTTTGGTAATACTTTTGTGTATAATCACTCAAGAAATGAGATTTGACTCTAGTAAGTACTTTGGAACTGGTTCTAGACCAGAGCAAAACTTTCAATTTGTCTAAAGTGTTATTTCTTCTAAGGAGAAATAGCATCTATGAAGTTTGTAGAGGCAAAATTGCTATGAGGCATTAAACAAGTATTCTTAAAGTATTCCAGGTACCATTCAAGTTATGAATCTTTTCCTTCATGAGTGGAAACTTTGAAATTTTGAAGGTTTAGTAAATCTTTGGTTGGTTGTTCTCTCATGTCTTCTAAGAGGAAGTCTTTATTTTCATTAAAATGGTTTTGAAGTTTTCAACCCAAAAGCTGACAAATAATACTTGTGGTGCCCTTAAACTCGACTTTTCTGAAAAAAAAGGGACCAGAAACCCATGAATGACCACATTCACTTTCATATGGAACCAGTTCATGTCCTATTTTATTTGATGTCAAATGACAGTTGTAAATAAAGCCAGTGAAGATAGACAGAATTCATCATTACGTGTTCATCCGTCAAACCACAACACAGATTCATGTTGAACCCTCTGCTCAACACATTATCAGTACAGTGATGCACAGTTTGTTACCTCTGCATTCTTGTAGCTGGCATTCAGTGATCCTCCATTGGTTCCCACGGCAACCGTTCCCACCCAAACCTGGAAATCAATTCAGGTGCAATTTTACACATCTTTTAACCCTTCGCTACGGAGGACTGCTTCTACCGCATCGCTGTGTGAGTATTAGTGCATACCACACAT